ATCCAGAAGCCAAAAATGTTCCACTCATGCACCTAATCAGGTTTAACCAGTCTGATGACTTGAAACCCCCCCACCCCCACAACTCAGCTTGTTTTGTTGCGACAGGAAGGGGGCTGTGACTCTTTCGAAGCAGCCTGGGCAATTAGCATTGACTGAAAAGTAAGTATTCCCCAAGGACACAGCTGCTCGCAGCTCAAGTCAAAACACACACAGTTCGTGCTGTTTACCACAGATCAAGCATCGATATCCCAGGAGTCAAAGTAAGCTTGGTGAGATATTATGTCTTGAAACTAAACCACAATGCCATCAAAACATTTTAATGCCCCTTGACCTTTTTTTTTTTTTCCCTCCAGGATTTTATTGTCATTACACCATCACAACGAAATAAACTCTTTGCATTTTTTGAACGTTGCACGCAGCTACAGCACACGATGCTTGTTGTCGCACTGTGCAGCCCAACGCTCTGGTGCAATCTACCTGCTCACACTGTACGTCTAAAAACCACGTCGGACTCAGCTTCACAGTAAGATGGCGCTACTGGGACTTCTCCATGCGGAAGCCCAAACGAGTAGAAGAGGAATGTGGAGTTCATTAGAGTGAAACACGCTGCCTTGGCAATTTGTGCAATTTTGTGCTGAAAGCTCTAAAAAGAAAAGGTGACGACGTATTTGGACAAAGACATGACTGAGCAAACATGGCTTCTATGATCTGTAAATTTTACAGCAAGATCTCCATTTCACCCGCACCCCCGCCATGCTTCTGTGTTTTTGTCTGAGAGGAAGAAGAATCCTTGTTTGCGCACTGAGCGATTAGCCCACGATGACTGCCTGAAGGTTAAACGTTTGATTTTCTCCTGACCTCATGATTCCTGATCAGTAGGTGGTCGTGAGAGGCTGATCGCCCCTGGTTATCCCCTGTACACAAGATGCATAGATCAGGCTGAAAGTCGGCCTGATTGAAAAATTCTCGCACGACTGAAAAGTCGGCCCCAAAAGGGAAAAAAAAAATCGTACAGTGTAATGCCCGGCTTTACTCTAAGAGTCTGGTATGACTATATGTTAACATTGCCTGCCATACACCTTAATAACATGGCATACTTTACTCCTATTTTAACTTGTATTAGAAACTTTTTCTCTTGTAAATGCTTGCTTACTATATGTATCCCTACTCTGATTTTCTTTTCTGCAGAGTTATATCCAGGCACAGGTGGGAGCTTTGAATGCATATTATGGTATTTACAAGAGAATCCAGAGGGGAAAAGTGAGAGGAAAAAAAGATTATATATTGGGGAACATGGGAGGTGGTCCTGAGAGGCTGATTGCCCCTCGTTACCCCCTGTACACAAGACGCATAGATCAGGCTGAAAGTCACCCCGATCAAAAAATTCTCGCACGACTGGAAAGTCGGCACGAAAAGGGGAAAAAAATCGTACAGCGGAAGCCTGGCTTAAGGGTCTTTGCTCAGGGACCCAGAGTGGCAGTCTGTGGGAGTGGGTTTCGAACTCATACTTTTCCATACTTTGTCATCAAACAAATCTTTTTGGGGGGATTATTATCAACTATTACAATATGAGGTGCATACTTATGAAGCGCAAGCAAAAAAAAACATAGTTGCTTTCTGTTTTTTTTTTCTCAAAATAAAATATCCAAAAGTGAGTACACTTTTTACAGAAACATCATCTAAAAAAATACACCTGTGAGGAAGGCGTGGTAAGGAGGAAGTGACTGGTCATAGCAGAAGGCCCTGTTTGCAGTTTAGAGTGCAGGAGAAGCAGCAAAATGCACAAAAGTAAAACAAATTTTAGCCTAGTTTGAAAAAAGTTCATGTGACTAAATACTAATTCTGTAAGGAAAGGGAATTGGGTCAGAGATGATGGGAGGATAGACAAATAGACAAAAAAGTACAAAGAAATCCTGCAAGAAGAAGAGTTGGAGGCTGCTAATGACCCATAAGGAGGGTGATTTAATTTTTGTTTTAACTATATAAATACGTATTGCTGCTATGATTGATATTTAACTGGAAAAACTAAAGGCATTGTAAAAATGCTTTTAATTTGAAGGGTGAGCAAAGGAATTCTAAAAATGCTTTTAATTTGAAGGGTGAGCAAAGGAATTCTAAAAATGCTTTTAATTTGAAGGGTGAGCAAATATGGTCTCGTTGTTGCAATAGATCATACTTTCAGGTCAATAAAAAACATTTTGATGTTTAAATTAAACTGCACAATCATCGACTTCTTATTTTAGATTAAAGCTTAATTCAAGTAACCAGGGCTGGACTGGGTCCAGCCCTGGAGAGGGTTTTTGGTCGTCGTGGGGATATATGCAGCATACCAGATGACATATAGGCAAGTTCAGAGGATTTATAAAATAAATACATAGTGAAAGGAATAACTCAAGTGTAAAAAAAAAAAAGTTTATTAAAAAGGCTGATAAATATTGAGTGACTGATCTTATCCTATGATTTGTTATTTTAAAAGAAATTTTTAAAAAGACATTGTTTGGAAATTCTGGCAGTGTAACGACCAAATTTATGTATTATGTTTTTAGGGATGTCATTTATTTTAAATCCTTTGATTAGATTATCATTTGGTAAACAAAATAATAATTAATGATAAAACATGTTTTTAATATTATGACATCCAGGCATCTGCCCTGGATGCCCAATGGCCTGTCCATCCTGCATGTGACAGGATGGCCCAGTCAAAGTCCACAGCTAAATACAATAGAGGATGTTTGGAAAAAAATATAACTACTATATAACTCATTTGACTAAGCTTGATGCTGTCCAATCCAACTTTGTTTATAAAGCACTTTAAAGTTTCCCAAAGACCAAAGTGCGGAGCAGAGAACAACAGCAAGCCATAACAAATAACAGAGGGCTTCATTTCAATAAAAATAACAAAAGCATAAAATACATACTGTACAACACAATTAAAATAGGAACTACAAATGTCTGTAATAGAAAATAATTTGACATCAAATGATGAGATCAACATCTCACAGCAAAGGTAAAAAGGTCAGTTTAAGGGGCGATTTGAAAACAGACTGTCAAAAAAAAACATTCAAAAATCCACTGTCTGAATACAACCCTATTAACTCATGATTGAATATATTTAAGCTCGAGTTTGTCAAGTGACGAGACGTCGCAAACTCCTGACAGCTATAATATCAACATTTTATAGGACAAGTTACTGTTTATGATCACTTGAATACCCCTTATAAATGGAGCCCCTGCGCGTCCCGCATAATTAGATGAGCCCTTGAATGATACATTTCCTACTGTAAATTAAGTTAAAAAAGTTAAAAAGTAAAAAAAAAAGGGTACAAAGCTAATTTAAAAGTTAAAAAGTAAAGTTCAACGTTAATAAGACTAGAAAACAATTATATTTAGGTTTATAAACTAAAGACTGTAAGTGCCAGTGTCAGCATTAAAGCCTCTAAGGTTCTGTTGGACCAAAAAAAATGTGTTTCTTTCTCTCCGGGCAAATTGGTGTTTCTTGTTATTACATTGACATTCATTTTTTCCATTAAAATATCCATATTGTTTAATGTTACAAAGGTAATAAAGTCTTGTCCTGGATTCCAATAACACTATTGGCTTGAAACGCTGATTTTCAAAATATTTCACTGAGTTAAGAAAAAAGAGCAGGAATTTAAACTTAATCTGTTGCCTCTGTGTGACGCATCAAGAAGTTCTCAGACAGACCCCAGCTCCGACAATGTCTGCCCTTCTCTCCCTATTCCTCTCCTTCATCCTTTTCCCAGGCCTGCTTGCTGACCAAACAAATCCTCTGCACAGTCACCAGCCTGACCCAGTAACCTGCAACGCTTCTATCTGCTGCCAAGGAGCAGCCATAAGCTCCCCTGCTGGTGCTCAGAGGGTGGCAGCGGAGGGGCAAAGTGAGCCGTCGGCCAAGCATGATGAATCAAGACCCAAGAGGAAACCACTGGATCTTTTTATTGGTAAGAGGAGATAAAAGCACTTTGAACAACATCATGTCTCTGCTTGTAATGCTGCCTCATCTATTTAGGCAAATGAGTTGAGCTGCAGGCTCTGCAGCCGACAATATGGGGCGCCGTTTGTAAAGTTAAGCAGTTAAAATTAGGAGCAATATTTATAGTTATTTAAGACATTTTAGCTCCAAACTAAATATTAATTAGGAGCAAAATATTGATTTAAAAAAAAAAACAACTAAATATTTAGTTTGGAGCCATATATTTATTTAAAAAAATTAAATATCTAATTTGCAAACTAAATATTTACTTTAGAGCTAAGTATTTATTTAAAAAACTAAATATTTAATTAGCAAACTAAATATTTAGTTTGGAGCTACATATTTATTTAAAAAAACTAAATATTCAATTAGCAAACTAAATATTTATTTAAAAAAATTTAATTAGCAAACTAAATATTTATTTTGGAGTAAGATATACATTAAAAAACTAAATATTTAATTTGCAAACTAAATATTTAGTTTGGAGTAAGATATACATTAAAAAAACTACATATTTAATTTGCAAACTAAATATTTAGTTTGGAGCTAAATATTTATAATTTAAAAAAAAACTAAATATTTAATTTGCAAGCTAAATATTTAGTTTGGAGATAGATATTTATTTAAAAAACTAAATATTCAATTTGCAATCTAAATATTTATATAAAAAAGACAAAATATTTAATTTGCAAACTAAACACTTAGTTTGGAGCTAAATATTTATAAAGAAAATATATATACCGGTATATTAAATTTGCAACCTAACTGTTTAACCCCAATCTAAATATTTATTAAACAAAGTAAGATTTTTATAACTGAATGATTGACATAGTGAATAAATGACTAATAAACCCCTGATTTTTCTCTTGAAACAAGCTGAATAACCATAAATATTGTTCCTAATTTTTGACTGCTTAACTTTAGTAAACGCCCCATACTACAAAGCATTAAAGTATTACTTCAGTATCCAGACAGCACTAAAGATGAGAATAAAAATAAAACTTACCCCATGGTTTCCTTTGAAACAGATTGAGGTCTGATTTTGTAGAACACCCTGTATGAGATAAGAGGAAGTAAGGAAAGAGCAATTAATGCAAAGTATAATTCCCCAAATTAATCCAGCAAACAATTATGCAGCAATCTGTTTAAAGTTGATGTTACACAATCAATAAAGCCTCTCAGACAGCCTTCCTTTCAAATCAGATAAGAATCCATGTTTCTATACAGGGATCTTCTGCAATTACCATCAGCAGGAAGGAAAATAGCCCAGTTTTCAAAGCAACAGTTTGTTTTCTAAGATAATCACAGGGTTCTGTCCCACTTTCCTGTGGTGACTTATGGTTCTGGGTAAAAACAGCAGCAGCTGTGCACTGACAGGAGGCTCCAGCATTTATACAACTAAAAGAAAATTAAAATTTACACTGACATCAAAGGGGGGTAACAAATACAGCAGCTGTGAATGTTTTACAGGAAAAATGCAAACTTTTAAATTTGTGAGAAAAAGAAAATCTCCAAAATAAAACCTCCCCCTGTAAAGGAGATTTTTTTTTTTTTAACACAGACAGTACCTTGATGTTTTGGTAAGCCTCCAGCGCTCTGATTGCTGTATCCGTCAGCTTGACGTGGTAGAGAGAAATGTTGGGGCTGCTTCTGGTTGTTTTTCCACAGCAGAGCCCATAGCGGTGCTCCTGCCTGAGTGAAGCCATCGCTGGCTCTCCTCTCTGCCGTCCAGTTAGAGCAGCTTTCCTCTGTCAGCCCGGCGTCACTGCGCGGGCGGGGCCATAAGGCAGACCGTTTTAGCATACAATTGTTGCACCTCGACATGTGAAGACTCAATTCATAATATTAATAAAATGCATAGACATATTGACCAGGATGAGGCCCATGTTTTATCCAGGGGCGGATTTAGGAAATTTTGGGCCCTAAGACAGGCAGGGGGCCCTCTGAATTGAGAAGACAACACATAAAACAGAACCATTATACAGATACAGATATTTTAATAGAACAGACAGACATTATTTGTTCATGGTCTTGTCCCTTTTCTTTTTTTCCCCCCCTCTCTATGTTTTGTACTCAAAAGTCTCAAAAGTGTTTCAAAGGGAATGAAAGATTTTTTCCAAGCACTAAGCTCACTTAGCTGATTTCTAAAAAGGCGACGGAAAAAGTAGACAAGCCATGATCTGCTTCTCTGTTCTTCATGATTAATTTGGATGCAATAATAGCTGCATGAATTACGACAGCAGACGAGATAGACAAGAGCAGGAGGCGGGGTTACCAATCTGCTTGCTCTGGAGAGCAGAGTTCAACGCGTTTATATGTTGTCGTCAAAGTCTCCAGTAGCAGAAATAAGTTGCTAGATTTTGTGTGTGTGTGTTTTTTTTTATAAAAGCGCTAGTGGGGGCATTTTAGTGAAATAATTTTAATCAAAAACATAATAATGTGCACAAATAAGGAATAGTTGTATGAAGCATACATGCAATTAGAGTTTTATGGGGCCCCCAGGAACTTGGGGTCCTAGGCAACTGCCTAGTATTGCCTAATGGCAAATCCTCCCCTAAATTAACAAAAAATAACACACACAAGGGAAAAAAAAGATCAAGAGTGCATTGCTTGATTTATTAAGCAAGCCTCAAAGCCAAGGTTGCTTACTTCTGATCTAACAGATAAAAAACGTAGTCCTATTTCAGTACAGCTTCAGCTTAAACAATTGTTAAAGTAAATTGTCTGGGACAGTCTCTTAAGAATTGATTTGGAGATACCCTGCCAAATCAGATCTAAAACTTTTTTTTAAAACATAAACTGTTTGTTTTTTTTAATAAGTGCAATTGCCCTTAAACTGAACAGATACATGTGATTACTTGTTAAAAGAATGAGTATGTCTGCTCTTAAAATAAGATAACTACATATTATGCACTTGAAATGAGATAATGGGGATTTATTTTTTATCAATTCAAACATAAATCATCTTATTCCATCTGCAAATTGTCTTACCTCCTTAAAATAAGGGAAAATTTAAATTTACTTCCTGGAAAAGTGGACCTAATTATATTTAAATATTTGCTGTGTGTGTTTTCTGTACAGGGTCCAGTTCTGCAGGGGCACTGGCTCCTGTCGACCCCTAGAACCGCCCATGCCTGCAGCAGAATGTTTTACTGAAGATCTGCAGAAGCCTCAAAGGAAAACCTGATGTTGTCTCATGAAGAGGAGGTTTTGTGTTGTACCTAATGTTCTTCATTCAATGATAAATTCTTCAGTTTAAAATCATCCCCAGAGGTCCTAAAGGATCTCAGAGCAGAACAAACCTTCTTTATCAGCTCTTGAGCTTCTTTTTAAACATAGCTCATGAAACTGTGAGTGGACAAGCCTAACTGTTCACATCTGTTCCGAGTATTCAGATCACAGAAACGTTCCCATGTCACAGAGACGACTGTCAGCTGAGCAATAAAAAGGACCTTTTCTGCTTACAGCACAGACCCATTCAGTTATAGGAACCATGTGATAACTTAAACATCGAGTTTGTATAGATTATTATTAGCCATTAACTCCTAGCTCTGTATTTTAACCTATTTGGTTGTGGAAGAACAATCAGAAAGAGGCTACTGCTAATTAATACAGTAGGACTTAACAAAATACAGCACCACAGCATAACGCATCTCTAGCTGTATGTATTGCACTGCATTTATGGGACAATTAAATAATAGTGTGAGTCAATATGTTGACCAAGAAAGGGTTAAATCAGCTAAAAATAAATAAATAAAAACAGAATAAAACGGAGAAAAATGAATCAAAACAACAAAAAAGAACCCACACATACAGCGTCCCATTATCCACTGGTGAATAAATGCTCAATGATGAGACTGTTTTTCCGTTAAGGAAAATTTTAATTGATAAACAAGCAGCGAACCTCAGAATATTAAAGAAAACTTTTTCAGTGCTCAAAATGACCGAAGGCAGTATTCATTTTTGCAACGGTGTTTGCATATTTTTAGTTTTAGGTGACTCTCAATGTGTCTCAAGACAGAACCTATTTAGGCCACCACAGTTTTTTTTTTACTGCATTCAGTTCCTCCTGGACAGGATCGAACCATGCAGGAAGTTTGTTTCCTGCCAGGTGTTGATGTATGCATGGATCAAAACAAAATTCTCTGTATTAGAGAGTAAAAAAAAATGTAAAACAAAGTGGAGTAATTATAAAAATATAAAACAAATGAGAGGATTAATCAGTTTTACCTATATCATATCAGCAATGTTCTTTTGTTGAATCTAAGTAGAACACAAATCTGTTTGGCAATCTGGAGCCCAAACATGATTTAATCGACTCTACAGAAAGTGATATTACCATTCCTGAAACATGGATAACGCTTAAAAAACAATCTCTGTGTCATGATGGGTTTACTGAGAGGCCCAAGATGCAGAACACAACGGACTCAGGGGAAAAGTTAACAAGTTTATTGTAACACAAGCACGTAGTAAATGTACAGTTTGCTGGTTCAGGCCTGGGGACTGGTTCACTGGAGTCTGTGAGGGAGACAGTTCAGTTAGCGTTGGCTTGGT